TTTGCCATTGTTTCTCGTTTCTATCTTTGGGCTCTGGCTGGCCTTGTGAAAGGCTGTAACGGCTACTCAAGAGGGTGGAAGCCCTGTTATTATGAAATGTTGTTCGCGTCAAGGGCAGTGCCACAGTCGACTTTCCCAAGCTGAATGTGAGTGCCGCAACAGAATCCTTGTCAGCTTTCTCCCTTGGTGGATCTGGATGCCATAGTTGAGGCAAGAGACTATCAATATTGCCTCGCAAGACTGAGATGCCCTGCAAAGGGACAACGTCACCAAGGGCTGGCGCAATATGGTCAACAACAGCGCATAGGAGATGGAAATCACTGATTCTTGCGGATGCTGAAAGGAGTTTGACTAATCCCGAGATGAATTCTTGATCATCAAGCTGCTTGGTTAGATCTGGAGTTGCGAGAACAACAGCAGCGTCGTGGCCACGTGAATTCTCTAAAACGGCATGGCCACTCAGCTTCGTCAGGAGATCACAAGTCCCGTCCTATAGATTTAAGCAATAATTCTAGCACACATCGAGAGTTGAATTTCCGACTCACACACCTTTGGCGACAAGAAATAAGAGAAGCGCGTTTGGTCAGGCGCCTTGAGGGTAGAGAGCTGGCGCCGTGATATTACACAGCATCTTGATACGAAGCCTCTCAGCATATGGCGTTGCGCACAAAGCGCCATGCTGATCGGACTGCCGCTACAGTATCAGCTTCACTGAAGAGTTCTGTCGTGAATTGAAGCCCAGATTTGAGGAGCCGAACGGGTATGAACGGAGTGCGTGTGGCTTGGACAATGTGGCTGAAGCTGCTCCAGGTACAACCCAAGTCACACCGCCACATTCTAGACCCCTCCTCATCCCACCTTGTCGAGATTGGTGGTGTCGTGGAGTGACTCAAAATTTCAAGAAACAACTGTGCTTGCACCGAGACTCGGGCATTGAGTCATCAGTGCCGCTATATATCCCTTGGGATCTAATTTTTCAGCTCGAAGACGTAGAAGCCCGAACATATCGGGCTTCCCGCAAAGTTTTTCAGTACGACGTTCAGATTAGCAGTTCGAGCACTTCGTGTGCGTTCTGTTTCCCCAAGACGACCCTTGACTACAACCGCACGTGCCGCCATGGCAAGCAACAGCACACGAGGAGGCCCCGGTAAGAAGTGTTTTAAAAGCACATGTACTTGCAAGGAACGTCAACTAATTCATCATGTAGTTGGGTCAAACGAGGGAGCCGAAGTACGAATTATTCACCCCACCATCGAATCGATCAGAGGAGCATAAAACCGAACTAATGTAACTCAGGTCCCCAAGCCAGCGGCGCAGACCACCGTTCCTGATATTGGAGCACCTCAGGCTGCTGATGGAGCTCCTAAAGAGAAATCGGAAAAGGATTGTAAGTCCTTATATGCCTAATCATCGCTGTGGTGGCCTATCGTTGCTAATGGCAACTTGATATAGTGGAAAAGGAGCGCAAGAAGGCCGAAAAGGCTGCCAAGCTAGAAGCCAAGAAGGCGAAGGCAGCTCAAATGGCCGCAAACGCCGCCAATAAGGAGAAGAAAGCTAAGGAGAAGAAGGCAGAGGAAGTTGTTCCTCCCTATGTCGAGGACACCCCTGCCGGCGAGAAGAAGCGCATTCGACCGTTTGAGGAACCCAATTTCAAGGCTTACGACCCTGTTGCTGTAGAATCGGCGTGGTACGACTGGTGGGAGAAAGAGGGCTTTTTCAAACCAGAGTTCACGCCCGATGGCAAGGTCAAGGAAGCTGGCAGCTTCGTTATCGTTCATCCGCCTCCGAACGTTACTGGATCATTGCACATGGGTCACGCACTAGGTGACTCGTTGCAGGATCTAATGATTCGATGGAACCGAATGAACGGAAAGACGACTCTGTGGCTCCCGGGATGTGACCACGCGGGTATCTCAACGCAGAGCGTTGTCGAAAAGATGCTCTGGAGGAAAGAGGGAAAGACTAGACACGATCTCGGCCGGACTAAGTTCGTTGATACTGTCTGGGAATGGAAGGAAGAGTACCACAAGCGCATCAACAAGGCCTTGACGCATATGGGTGGTTCATTTGACTGGAGCCGCGAGGGTATGTATTCTCGACAACTGGCTTCCTGGACTTCTTTGTTGACAACTCACAGCCTTTACCATGGATGCCAATCTTTCTGCTGCTGTCGCCGAGACTTTTTTCCGGCTGCATGAGGAGGGTATCATCTACAGAGCTAACCGACTTGTCAACTGGTGCACACATCTGAATACCGCACTCTCCAACCTGGAAGTCGATAACAAGGAACTCACCGGCCGGACTCTCCTTGATGTACCAGGCTACGAAAAAAAAGTTGAGTTTGGCGTCATCGTTCACTTCAAATACCCCATTGAGGGCTCAAACGAGACCGTTGAGGTGGCCACAACCCGTATTGAGACCATGCTTGGTGATACAGGAATTGCTGTCCACCCTAACGATGCCCGTTACAAGCACCTCGTGGGCAAGAATGCTGTACATCCTTTTATTCCTGGCCGAAAATTACCCATCGTCGCTGATGAGTATGTCGACATGGAGTTCGGAACTGGTGCCGTTAAATTGACCCCTGCTCATGACCCTAACGATTTTAACTTGGGACAAAAGCACAATCTTGAGTTTATCAACATTCTCACCGACGATGGTTTGATGAATGAGAATGCTGGTCCGTACAAGGGCCAGAAGCGTTTCGATGTCCGTTATTCTATTCAAGATGCTTTGAAGGAGAAGGGCTTGTACGTGGACAAGAAGGATAATGCAATGAAGGTGCCACTGTGTGAAAAGTCAAAGGATGTCATCGAGCCCCGAATGAAGCCTCAGTGGTGGGTTCGCATGAAGGAGCTCACTGGACCAGCTTTAGAAGTTGTCAGAGAGGGAAAGATCAAGATCAGACCAGACACTGCGGAGAGAAGCTACTTCAGGTGGCTTGAGGATATTCAGGATTGGTGTATTAGTAGACAACTTTGGTGGGGTCACCGATGCCCCGTCTACTTTGCCAATATTGAAGGCGTCGCCAAAGATACTGCAGATGACAAGCTTTGGTTCTCTGGACGAACTCGCGAGGAGGCGGAAAAGAAGGCTGCAGCCGCCCTGCCAGGCAAGAAGTTCAGCCTCGAACAGGATGAGGATGTTCTCGACAGTAAGAAGTTATATCGTTCCTTCATTTTATATTACATTACTAATATGAATCATAGCTTGGTTTTCCTCTGGGCTCTGGCCCTTCAGCACCCTGGGCTGGCCTAACAAGACACATGATTTAGAAACCTTGTACCCTACCACTGTCCTTGAGACTGGCTGGGATATTCTATTCTTCTGGATTGCCCGTATGATCACTTTGGGTTTAAAGATGACCGGAAAGATTCCATTCAGCGAGGTCTACTGCCACAGTCTTGTCCGTGACTCCGAGGGTCGAAAGATGAGCAAGAGTCTGGGTAATGTCATTGATCCTCTGGATGTTATCTCCGGTATCAAGCTGGAGGACCTGCACCAGAAGCTCTACCAAGGAAATCTTCATCCTAGCGAAGTTGAGAAGGCAACCAAGTACCAGAAAACTGCCTTCCCTGATGGTATTCCCCAGTGTGGCGCTGACGCTCTTCGTTTCACCATGATTAATGCCAGCACTGGTGGTGGTGATATCAATTTGGATGTCAAGGTGTAAGTGAATCCCTGATGCCAAATGTTCGGTGCTGAAATTTACCTGTTGTCCAGTATTCACGGATACCGCAAGTTCTGTAACAAGATTGTAAGTAATAATCAAATTAGCGACCTATGTCGGATATCGATTAACCTTTCTGAAGTTCCAAGCCACCAAGTATGTTCTAGGCAGCCTGCCTAAGGACTTTACCCCCGCCGCAGACGGCATTATTCGAGGCAAGACCTTGGCCGAGCGATGGATTCTTCACAAGATGAACAGTGCCGCTAGAGATTTGAACGTCGCAATTGCTGACAGAGAGTTCCAAAAATCTACCAACATCATCTACAAATACTGGTATGCAGAGCTTTGCGATGTCTACATTGAAAACTCAAAAGCCATCATCCGAGACGGCACCGAGGAAGAGCGCCAGTCTGCTCTTCAGACTCTGTACACCTCTTTGGAGTGGGCTTTGACGCTTATTCACCCGTTCATGCCTTACATCACAGAAGAGATGTGGCAGAGAATGCCCCGCCGACCTGGTGACAACACGAAGTCCATCATGGTTTCCAAGTATCCTCAGTATAGCCCTACACTAGATGACTCCGAGTCCGAGGCTGCGTATGAGCTCGTTCTGGCCGCTACAAAAGCAACCAGATCACTCATGTCGGAATACTCGCTCAAGGAGAACGCCCAAGGTGAGTTCCCATGTAGTGTGGCGGCCCCTCGTGTCCATTGATTGCTAATTAAAATTCGACGATGTAGTCTTTGTCCAAGCTTACAACGAGGCCACTTTGAAGACGTGCAACGCCGAAGTTGCATCAATCAAGTCCCTTAGCGGCAAGAGTGTCAAGACCATGCACGTAATCGGGCCTGATGCTCCCCGCCCTGCTGGATGCGTCGCTTACCCCGTTTCTACTTCTGTTGCCGTTTTCTTGCACGTCAAGGGCCGTGTTGATATGGATGCAGAGATATCCAAGGCCCAGAAGAAGCTAGAGAAGGCCAAGATGAGCATCCAGAAGCAGGAGAAGATTCTGTTGGACCCTGGCTACATAGAGAAGGTCTCTGCGGCTGTTCGTGAGGGAGACGAGCAGAGACTGGCAGATGCTAAACAGGAGGCGATCAGTTTTGAGGAGACTATCAAGCAATTTGAGCAGCTCAAACTAGAGTAAACATGGTAGACAATATACAATTGCTCTATTTTTTATTATCTTTTTTTATTATTGGCAAATTCACCTTCACCAAGAGACAACGACGACAACCACACAATCTCGCGGATTTTATTTTGACAGTTGCTCGTCCGCTAATACGATTCATGATACATTTGATATTCTACTTTCTATGAGTACACCCTTCACCAGCCGCCCTTGCCGGCTCCCCCACCACCTCCGCCTCCAGCAGCGGCGTCATCTTTCTCCCTCCTGGCACCACCCCGAACGGGCTTCGACTGCGCCGCCTCGTGCCTCTTCAACTCTTCGGGCACCTTCGAGATGGAGCTCTTGCTTAGCATCTGCCTCAAGTCGTACATGACATCAGCGTCCTCGTTGCCCAAGAACGTAATCGCCACACCACTCTTGCCCGCACGACCAGTACGACCAATACGGTGGGTGTAACTCTCGATACTGGTAGCCATGTTGAAGTTGACGACGAGCGAAACATCCGGCACATCAATACCACGACCAGCAAGATCCGTTGCGACGAGGACCTGAGTCGCACCTGAGCGCACCGAAGCAAGTGCAGCCTCTCGCTGCTCCTGTGTCTTGGAACCGTGCAGAGTAACGGTAGACCAGCCCATGGACTTGATGTCCCGCGCGACAGCGTCGCAGTTCCTCTTGATGTTGACAAAGACGATAATGGGCGGTGCAAACTCGTTCTTGGAAAGAATTTCCTGTAGCCTCTTCTTGCGGCGGTCTTCGCCGGATACAAACTCCACACGCTGCTCGACAGTGTCGACTGCTTCACCGGCGTTGCCTATGGTTGCGGTGGCGGGACGACGGAGGTACTTCTTGGCAATGCGTTCCACGAGCGGTGGCATAGTGGCCGTGTACATCATTGTCTGGCGGTACTTGTCCCTGCTCCCGAGATAGGACTTCATGAGCTGCGCATTTTCAGCGTCGTCCGTGTCGGGCTTCTCGTTGCTGACGGGCAGAGCGTCGAGGATCTTGTTGACGGACTCTTCGAAACCGAGGTCGATCATGCGATCGGCTTCATCCATGATTATGTAGCAGCACTGCGAGAGGACGAGCAGTCGTCTCTCGATACAGTCTACTAGACGGCCGGGCGTGGCGACAATGATTTCTGCGCCGTTTCGCAGCGCAAAGGCCTGCTCCTCGAGAGAGTGGCCACCGACGATGCTGACGCAGCGGAAGCCCAGGGGTTCAGCAAACTTTTTGGCTTCCGTCTCGATTTGCTGGACCAGTTCACGGGTTGGTGCGAGAATAAGAGCGTATGGTCCGTCGTTCTTGTTGACTTCGGTGAGGGGGGGGAGATCGGAGATGTACACGAGGAGGGGAAGAAGGAAGGCTGCTGTTTTACCGGAACCGGTGACGGCCACACCGATCAGATCGCGGGCTTGCAAGGCAATGGGGATGGCTGCTCTTTGAATAGGCGTGGGTTCCTTGTAGCCCACTCGGTCGACGATGTCGAGCAAACGTTGCGGTAGGCCGGACTCTTCCCAGCTGCGCATAGGATCGGGTATAGCACCGCCCTTTGTAGAGATGCCAAAGTCCTCTTTGAATATTCTCCAGTCTCGCTCCCGCATCTCCCCGAGTTTCTTCTCCGACCAATGACGCCCGAGACCTGTCCTCTCCGCTCTCTCCTTTGCTTTGGCTCGCGCACGGTAGAAGTCCTCCATGATGCCCTTGGCGCGCTCCTTGCCATGTTCGACGTCTCGCTCCTCGATCAATCTTGCTCGTTTACGGGCCCGTCTCTCGGCCTCCTCGTCGAATTCGCCGCCCAAGCCAGCAAGGGAACCGCCCCTGTTGACAGCCTGGTTCTTGTATATAGGATCGTTGTCTCTGGATGTGTCATCTTCCAGATCCCATTCAAAGTTGAACTTCTTCTCCGTCGTCCGCATACGCTTCTTTTTGGCAGAGAAGCTAGACTGCTGGTTGACTTCAGGGCCCAGATATCGAGACCTAAATAGCGTAGCTTCAATATCCTCGGCAGACTTTTTGTCCCCGTTTACTTTGTCGCTCTTCTTGCTGTCACCCTTTCGCTGGTTCATGGCTCGAGGCCCCGTGGGGGGTTGCGTTGGGCCATTTGGAGTCCTGTGTGCCGTGGATGATGATCCGTTTCGCGACTCCCATTTTCTCTCGTCTTCTCTTCGTTTTTGTGCTTCGTCCGCAGCTTTGCGTTTTTTCTCGTCCTCCTCTCTCTTGGCCTGCTCTGCCGCCATGCGCTCGCGCTGCGCTTTGGGGATGAAGCGCGGCTTTGCGGCCGCAGCATCTGCGGCCTTCCTTTGCCGGAGAATCTCCTCTATATCGAGAGGCATCGCTTTCTCTGTCTTGAGGTCTCTTCAGAGCATCAAAACTGCAACCTAGCAGCAACAGTGGAAGGAGTGTGAGTACAGACAGAAGGAGAATTGCCCACAACTGAACTCAGAGGCAAGTTAGGCAAGGCTGCCGGGCTTCCAGAGGTCCACATGCGGCAAGCTCAAATCTGGCCAATCAGATGCTGCAACTGGCGGGGTCTCCAGCGCGGACAGGGGTCTAGCAAAAGTCGCAGTGCAGCCTCGATACCGATACCTGTTTCGCTTGATGACTTCCACTGCTTCAGTCAATTCGAGCCCACAACCCATCCCGACCGTCCGCCGGCCGATCCAGCATCTTGTATCATATCGAAGAGGTGCTCCTGCTTGAGGCGTGTGAGCAGGATCACACCGTGACAAGACGCAATGGCTTCGGCAACAAAATATATCCAGCTAGCCAGGACGCTGCCCGAACCCCTACAGCGATTCTTTGCTCGATGGCCGCCGGCGTCAATCCAGTCCCCGGGCACTGCTCCAACCCAGTATCAGGAGCAGCGACCTGACCCATTCCGATTCTACAAGCACCCCGTTACAGGGAAATGGCACGGCCCGGTGTACTCACACCGCCGACAAGCACAGCTCGGACAATTAGCTCGCGAGC